ATTGTGTTTTGTTTTTATGTTTTTCTTGGTATGCTTTTTAATAAATTTTTGGTTTTACTTTTTCATTATTTTACTGCCTTTGATTTTTATTGTTAAGAACTTTGGTAACAGGTGCTGTTTCTGAACGTGCTTTATAAATACATTTGACTTGACAACAGCAATAAAGATGTGGAAAAACTGCAAAAATCACTTCCTCTGAAAACTAATATTTTAATTTTTCGATAACTTGTTTTAATTAGAAACACATAGTCTTAAAGTTAAAACTGGTCAGGCAAAATGGCTTTTTTTTTCTTCCAAGGCATGAATAGAAAGACCACAACTGTTCCTTTAATAGTTCAAGAACATAACTTTACTTACAGCAGCGTAATAAATATTAGCCCAAGTAAGCATTGCTCAAAGCACATGATTTTTTTGTATAGAACTTATTAAAAGTACTGAGTGACAGTCATGCCATAATCTGAAATGTGGTTCCTCAATTTATTGCTAAATGTATTGATTTTCAGTAGGTCTGAGTCCAACATGAAACCATGATTCAGACCCAGCAGATAATAAATGACAGGGGTTTCACCGTTGCCATGTGGATTTTACAAAACAAAACAGGAAGTGCCTTTTGGCATTGTTTAGTTTGGTTCCTTGCCAAGTGTTTTCCATGTGACAAAAGCTTTAACTTGGATTCACAGCATTATATCAGAGCTGCCACAAGCTTTTCCTTTTTTTTGTATGTTTTTACAGGACTCTTTGGAACTCGGTGTGGTTACAAATGGCCCGCTCTAAAACTGGCTCCTGTTCTGGCGAGTGAAAAACAGTGGGAGTGTTTTTTAAAAAATTATTTCAGGGGGGTTTCCATGACGATAACGAAACAAAGAGGCACTGGCGTGAAAGAAGATGGAGGGGAGAGGGTATTGTGGAGGGGGTAGGATGGGTACTGCCAAGGCTCATGACTCATTCTTGAAAGGGAGCAGAGGTGGAAATAAATGGGGGAGGAGAAGAATACAGGGTTGGAATTGGTGGAGCGACAGCAGGGAGTTGAGAGGCATTTTTACATGTTGACGATCACGATGAATCGCCAATGAAGACACGAAGAACGGGGATAATGGTGTCTCTTTTGTCACAGCAGTGTGAGAATTTGTGATTCAGTTTTACACACCGGCGTCCGTCACGAATGATGGGAAGACGTTTATATAAATCAGTTTTTTCTCACAGGAGTGCATGTCATGTATAGGTGATAAATCTGTTTGAGACCAGCTGGAGTTATGCACGTGTGAACCCAGACTGGTGGCGTTTCCTGTTTTTAAAATCCCTCAGCTGAGAGGCTCTAAAGCCTTGAGACCAGTGATGACAGGCGCTGGCTGGTTGGTGCTGTTGACCTGGTTTCAGATGGAAACCAGCCCATGTGGTTTTGGTTTCTCTCATAACAAAGCTTGGGGGTCGCCCAAAGGCCCAACTGTCTTCCAACCATACCTTGCCACAAGATACAAATGTTTTTTTTTTTTTGGAGCTGCTTGAAAGGCAATATAGTTTCATCGATAACTGAGGAAAACTGAATTAATAAACCTTCTTAAATCCTTCATTGTTCATATAATGCATATTGTTCCTGAGCCTGTTTACAACTTGTTTCTCTAACAGTAAACAAATGAAAGACTGAACTTTATCAAGTCAATAACAACTTTACAACAAGTCAAAAAAACTGTTTTAGTTTATTTGATTTTTGTTCCTGTCTAATTCTCAGCTACCCATGGAAAGACGATGGGATGCAGTTCTGCAGCACAGGCAACTGCTAATTAAGTAGTCCCTCGATTATTGCGGGGGTTACATTCCACACACCACCGCAATAAGTGGAAAACCGCAAAGTAGGAATGATATATTTATTTTAGTATTTATATATATTTTAAGGCTGTATAAACATTTCCCCACACTCTTGCAATGTTCTAAATTCTTAAACCTTCGTAATTTTAACAACATTTGTATAAGTACTGTACAGTACTGCAAAATTTTATTCACCAGCTCTGCAGAACAGCAGCTCGGTTCCGGTCGGGCTCTGTTCCAGTTTTGCAGACCTACCCTGCAGTGAGGAAGCCCACCGCCCCATCCAGATTGATGTGCACGTGGATAATTGAGATTCATGAAGCTTCAGGATTATTTGTGACTTTCCTGCCAGTTCTGTGCGCTTAATAGATGCTCGTTACTTCAGACTTTCCCTCCATTTCTGCAGAAAGCAGCGGCCGGAAGCACTGTTGGCTTCTGGGTAGTGTAGTTCTTTAACTGGCGAAATAAAACTACAAAATGACAGCACCTGTCCGAAGCATTTCAATTTTTTTCATTAACATTTTATCCTGTACCATCCCAATAACATGAGTAATATTAAAGTTAGGGATGCACGATATTGGATATTTGGCCGATATTCGTTATGACGATCTATAAAAAACTTATTTGGCTGATAACTGATGCCGATACCAATATTTTATATACGTTCTTTAATCAGAACATAGCCCTCTTATTTAGGTTTATTTGCTACAAAAATTGTGCAACAGCTGTAAGAGCTGGTGACATATTCTGTAACAGCCATATGATATGCATAGCACTTTAACTTGTATTAAATGAAAAGTGTTAAATGTTATTTATTAGCATTAGTCACCTGCGATGCTGTCTCACTTGTGGAGGCTTGTTCCAGGTTCCTATAGCTGCAGTGTGGGATCCTCTGCACTCCTGTGCATGAAGGACAGACTTTTTAAGATCAAAGTCTTTGTCTATCCATTGTGCCGTAAGACTAATCATGCTAACGGGGCTAACACGACGTCCAAATGTCTGTGGTAAAACTCACCCAACAAGTCGTGCTATCGGTTATTAGCTTCTCAATGACGTCGGAAATGACGGCTTGTAACTCGGGTAATGTTGCGTCAGAAGAATATTTCAGACTGGGGATGATGTAGCGAGGCTCAACGTAGTCTGTAAATCTTCTGAATCTGACATCCTCACCAACGAAAAATAAAACTTTCACAATGCCGGCATTTTGAATTTTCCTCTCCGCCGTGAGATCAGGTAGGTGCACGTGACGCATCGTGTTGTGCTGCCGCTGCAATGTCATCACATTGTGCTGCCGCTGCAGGTAAAAATGGCGCCTTTCATATTGGTGAGTTATTTTCATGGAATGGCCGATGTCCGATATTGAACTTTAACACTAATATTGGCCGATACTATGCCAATAATATTGTGCATCCTTAATTAAAGTTGACAATCGTCGAAAAACTGCGAAAGAACGAGTCTGCCAAAGTCAAACTGCAAAGTAGTGAGGGATACAGTACTGTACCTCTTACAATAATACTATGTAAATGCATAGTCTGCAGTACAGTCATTCATATTTTTGGTATACAGTAAACAAAACAGTGTTTTTCAGTGTATTGGGTTTTTAATAAGTTTTTGCTGCTGTGAGTGTTATTATTTTGCAACGATGATGACATTCAACCAGCAGCAACGTGTGGCAAAGGAGCTGCTCTTCTGGAGAGAGGAAAGCTCTGCAGAGAGTGGTGAAAGCTACACAGAAGTCTGTTGGAGTCTGCCTTCCCAAATCACAGGCACCAGTAGATGCAGGAAGAGGGCCACCTGCATCATGAAGGATCCCACTCACCCAGCACACACACTTTTTGCCCCGCTCCCCTGAGGCAGGAGGTTGAGGAGCATTAAGTGTAGAACCACTAGACTGAGGAACAGCTTCTACCCTAAGGCTGTTAGACTCATGAATCTCTAACCAGACAAATCACTGTAATGTCACTTTAATTAGAGATTTGACACTTTATCCATGCTGCTGATTTCTTACCTATAAGCTGCTATATTCATACCCATCTGCTCACAACAGACTCATGTTCAGGCTGCTGTGCACCTTATTTATAATATATTATATTTTTTAGCATATATCTTAGATTCTTGTTTACTGTTTCTTTTTTTAATATACTTTATATTTTTACTATTTTTGGGTGTAACTCGGACCTTGCATACACAGTTTCATTCCACCTCATGCATCACATGTGATGTGAATGACAATAAAGTCTCATTGAACCTTGAAAACTTGAAGTAGGCATTTGCTTTTGTGTTTTTATATATTTCTTATAGATGATGTTAAAGTGAGCTAGATGAATGAACTATAACCCTTCTGCTGCCTTTGGGTCAACGTGACTCACCAGGCGTGGATTACACTGATTAACAAAGTTCAGCACACAGTCTAGTTGAAGTCGTTACACTGAGTTAATCTAAAGTTTGATAATCACTTAATCTATCTTTTTTTTTTTGTTGCTTTCATTATCCCTTCAAACAGGAGAGGCACAACTCTTTGATATCAAGTGAAGTTCTGTTATAGATCATGTAGGAAGCTGCAAACAACAATCTTGCTTCAACATTTCAGGTATTTAATTAATTAAAGATAAATTGAAATAATAAAAATTGATCACATTCAAACGTAGTTGCTGTGAGTTTCTACATGTAAGGACTGCTTTCAACAGTTCAACCAGCCGTGGCTCCTATTTGAATATGTAAAACACCCAAAACTGGCTGTACTGGAAAGCTTATTGGTCTGGATTAACTGCAGTGCAAATCACATTCCACGTTCATTGTTTGATGTTACAAAAGAAACGAGCACCACCTCCAACTGGTCACAACCTGACGTACAGTAACAAACCCTAAACACCTGCAGAATGACCAGCTCCCAATCACAAACACGCTCAGATGCACCACACGTGACGCCATGCATTTGAATACTTTGAGAGAAACATACAGTGAGAGTCGAAGTATCACATCTGTGCATTCACCCCCTACAGACTGTCTTCTCTTCTTAGGGAAGCCTGACAAAAACAGAGGAGGGTATGGTTTTGACTGACTGGACGGTGTGTCATAGGAGTGTAAAGTTTCAGCCCAGTTCTCCCTCTCACCCAGATCTGTAGCCAATCATGGCTGAAACAGGTTCCCTCCCACAAGAAGGGCAGGCTTTAAAACTCCTCCGTATATTCCCCTCTGTCTATCCTCTCTGGTCTCTTCCTCTGCTGGCCTGCCTGACTGCCTGAGTTGCCAACTGAGCCAGTTAGTCTGACGGTTCCTAACCCATTTCATTCAAAAGAAAGAAAAACTACTTCAGAATGTCTTACAGGACCACATCCACCTCCTACAGGAGCTCTTCTGCCCCAAGGAACTTCAGCAGCAGCTCCTATGCTGGACCAGGCAGCACGAACGCCCGCAAGAGCTTCACAGTGATGAGCTCTTATGGAGGTGGTGCCGGCAGCAGGGGCTTCGGGGGAGCTGGCATCACCAGCAGCTCTGCCTACAGCGTCAGCTCACAGATGGGTGGTGCAGGAGGCAAAGGTATGGGAATGGGTATGGGAATGGGTATGGGTATGGGTATGGGCTTTGGAGGAGCTGGAATTGCCCAGGCCCCCATCACCGCCGTGACAGTCAACAAGAGTCTGCTGGCCCCCCTCAACCTTGAGATTGACCCCACGATCCAAGTTGTGCGCACCCAGGAGAAAGAGCAGATCAAGAGCCTCAACAACCGCTTTGCTTCCTTCATTGACAAGGTAAGGGTCTGAAATCAGAAGTATCTAATTCAAAGTGACAAACTGCTTTTGTAAGTTTCAAAGTTCAGTTACGGCGCTTTAAAGAGGTCTCACAGATGTGACATCATTATGCAACGTTAGCTAAAGGCCTGTGTGTTCACCACATGCTCCGTAATACTGATTTTGTCACTTGTTCTGCAAAAAGAACACTGATTTATGCTTTTTGCTTCCCACAAATGAGACCCAGGCAGCTCAGGGTTTGGCCCTCTGTCTTTTGGCTCTGGCTTTTGTAGTAATGGAAAACAGACGTGTAAAAAAAGAAGCTGAGAATGAAAAAAAAAGTTTAGGGTGTGTCAGGCAGAGCTCAGGACTTGTGATATGAGTTACCTTGGGAATGGTCCCTCCCTTAGCTGGGGTGTGGCCTTTTCTGCTGCCCTGTTGGCCCCCACTCCTTTCAAACACACACACACACACTGCATCAGTAATGACTGCTTATCAATGCCCTTTATTTCCTCTGACACACTATATAAGGAGTGTCCACCAGCTGCATGAATAGATCAACTTTTAATCTTTTAAAATCGGCCGCATTTCTGTCCTGCGTTTGTGTTCACAGGAGAGTATCAGTCCCCGAGGTCTCAGAGGCGGGTTAATATTTAAAAAGGCCTGGTGGTTTCAGGTTCTGGTCAATGCCAGATGACTGGCAACACATCAACTCTCCTCCTCTCGGCCCAGTGATTAAATTAAGATAAAAGTATTTTGCATGTGTCAACACTGGGCAGATGAAGCTTCAGCCAGTGTATCTGTCATTTCTTTGTAGAGCCCATTTAAGTTTAAACGAGAACCAAAGGTGGTGATCAAATTTAATCAGCAAAGAGCAACGTCCACGACTTATCTGCATTCGCTATCTCCGTTTTAATGTTCACAAATATGCACACTCCCCACCTTTTTAACAAATAAATCACTCCTCACTTTCTGCTCTCCACATATTCCTCATCAGTTATTTCGCAGTTAAATATTTATCTTTCTGCATCCGTCATTGGATGAAGCTTCGTCACTCCCCTTTCTCCACTTCTTTGAAAAAACAGGAAGGCGTCCAGGAGAGGGGTTAACTAGTTCCATTTGTTCATCTCAGCCTTTTTTCCAACCACCAACCTCCTGTCAGGATGCATGTATATCTTGCAGACCTTCCTGATAGCCTGTCTGGAAAAAAAAATAAATAAAAATAAAACAAACAAAGCAGCGTTCTCTAACAAAACACTAAGAAAAGCACAAGAACAAAGACTATACATGGAGCGTAGGTGGCCTTGTGAGGCTGATCCTGATTATTAATTAATAGAGCATTAACCTCAGACATGCTTTTCAGAGACATTACTCTTTCGTGGGGAGGGGGGGGGGGTTGTTATTTTTCACAAGCAGAGACCAGGAAGAATTCATCTCGTGTCGGAGATCAAAAATGTAGGTCAGTGATTTACAGCAACCATTTCAACTTTTGTTCTCTTTTTTTCCTCAACGTTAGGTCCGCTTCCTGGAGCAGCAGAACAAAATGTTGGAGACCAAATGGAACCTGCTGCAGGGCCAGACCACCACCCGCTCCAACATCGACGCCATGTTCGAGGCCTACATCACCAACCTGCGCAGACAGCTGGACAGCCTGGGCAACGACAAGGTCAAGCTGGAGGCTGACCTGCACAACATGCAGGGCCTGGTGGAGGACTTCAAGAACAAGTGAGTGTCAAGTGTCTCATCATTCAAGTGAGATTTTTGCTTTCCAGCACATCTTAGAGTGGACTCCTCCCTACATGTGTCCATTCACTTACATCACACAAACCTAAGGGAATTACGACACTAAGGAAGCATGTTACAAACACCCATTATACAGGAAGTACAATTTATTTAACGGTGCTGGCTATTTTAAAACATTTCCATAGCAAGAATTCTGAGGAAGGGGAGTATTTAAACATACTCATGACAATGCTACAACAGGAACTTTAACTTACTTGCTGCCCAAAGATAAATGAAGTAAATACACTGCACCAGAAGGATAAATATAAAAAACAACTCCCTGACAGTCTGAGAAAACTGTGCTAGAGGAGTCTCAGGGGAAAGCATGGACCACTAGCTCCACCTAATGTTGCAGTATCGTATAAACATAACATGAGGCGACATCTTCTAAATATTCAAAGCTATTCTTTTTCTCAATTCTTAGGTATGAAGATGAAATCAACAAGCGCACAGAGTGTGAGAACGACTTTGTCCTCATCAAGAAGGTAACCTCCGTTATCACTCCACTTATCTCAGCTGAGATACGTCGTCTGTGCACAGATCAGTTCTTTTTCTTTGGCGCACCAGTTTAATGAGCATGTTCTGTTTTTGCAGGATGTGGATGAGGCCTACATGAACAAGGTTGAGCTGGAGGCCAAGCTGGAAAGTCTGACAGACGAGATCAACTTCCTCAGGTCGATCTATGAGGAGGTACGGCCCAAATGGCATTTGACGTTATTCACACCGCTCCAGCGTTATCCGTGATATACAAAGCATTCCTATAAGTTTTGCAATGTAACTGTGAAATGGGCTCCCTCTTCTTTGGATGCATGTCTTTTTAACATCTGTTTTGCATCTTGAGCTGATGCTCATGTCACCTGTGGAAGTGTGTTAGCTGCTTGGGTTTCCTCAAGAAGTGAAGATGACTAACGCCTTTTTTTCCACCTTCTACTTGGCTTTTGTTAAAATTTCCTCAGGAACTGCGTGAGCTCCAAACCCAGATCAAGGACACTTCAGTCATTGTGGAAATGGACAACAGCCGTAGCCTGGACATGGACTCCATTGTGGCTGAAGTCAAGGCACAGTATGAGGACATCGCCAACCGCACCCGTGCAGAGGCCGAGACGTGGTACAAGACAAAGGTAATGGAGGAATCTTTAAAAAGTATTTATTTTATGCTCTCATCATACTGCGTACACACCAAAAGTTGGAAAAGTTCGTAATAGTTTATTTTTCCGACACTCGTTTAGTATGAGGAGATGCAGACATCTGCCAGCAGATATGGAGATGACTTGAGAGCCACCAGAACAGAAATCGCAGACCTCAACCGCATGATCCAGAGGCTGACATCAGAGATTGATGCCATCAAGGGACAGGTATGGAAAAACCCACTGGTCTCTACCATTTTGCAATCATTTGATTGGATTGAAACTGTATTTTAAAAACGAACTTCTAGCGGGCTAACCTGGAGGCTCAGATCGCTGAGGCTGAGGAGCGTGGCGAGCTGGCAGTGAAGGACGCCAAGTCTCGCATCAAGGAGCTGGAAGATGCCCTGCAGAGAGCCAAACAGGACATGGCCCGCCAGATCAGAGAGTACCAGGACCTGATGAACGTCAAGCTGGCTCTCGACATCGAGATTGCCACCTACAGGAAACTGCTGGAAGGAGAGGAGGACCGGCTGGCAAGCGGCATCAAGGCAATCAACATTTCCCAACAGAGCAGTGAGTCACCTCTTCCTCCGATACTGAAGCTTCTGCTGGTTGCATCCTGGTAAACCTTCTCACGTTTACATTTTTTCTTTTCTCAACAGCAAGTTACAGCGGCTTCCCCATGGACAGTATGAAGAGCAGCTACTCGAGCAACTACTCCAGCGGTTTCGGCAGCGGCTCCGGCGGTTACGGCAGCAGCTCCGGCGGTTACGCAGGCGGTTACGGCAGCAGCTCAGGCAGTTACGCCGGCGGTTACGGCAGCGGCTTCAGCAGCGGCAGTGGCGCCGGAGGCTACAGCACCACCCAGAGCAAGAAGAACGTCGTCATCAAGATGATTGAGACCAAGGATGGAAGAGTGGTGTCCGAGTCCTCCGAAGTCATTGAGGATTGAAGCGTCTAGTGTAGAAGTGCAGCTACCTGTCTGCTACGAGCTCCTCTTCCTCTCTGGTAGTCTTATACTCACAGCTCACATGACCTCAACTATCGTAATAAACAAGTCTGAAGTAAAAATGCCTTCCAACCACGCTCTGACAGAGCACAAACATGTTTTCCATAAAGCAATAAATGACACTAACACTACCAAAGATCTGAACGGGACCAAAGAACTTACTCTGTATGTCTAATGTCTGATGGTTTGTACTAAAAGAAGTAGTTTTGCATCAAAAAGTGAATTTAAAAGTGCTTAAATTGCAACTAGAAAGGAAAAAAGGTCATAGCACACTCCCATGAAGTCTATGCAACTTTTAATCCATATGAAGGGTCGTTGTGTTGAATTAAATGGACAGAGCCCATGTAAAAAGGAATGTGAATGTAGTGAAACTGAGCTCCAGTGTTGTTGGACAACTAATGTTCTAAACTAGCCTGCTACAGTAGGTAGTGATTTCCCTGTGCGTGTCCTTTTAACTTTAATTGTTTAACCCCTTAGGAAGCTGCCCACATGTCACACATTTGTCCTGAGGTGCTGTTTTTGCTACCAAACTGAATAAAAATGTGTTTACTGAGTAAAACGGTGTCTTTATTTTCAGTTTCAAAGTTGACAGAAAGAATAATTACACAGAAATAGCAGCACAGTGGCTCAGATGGTTGAGCTGTTGCTCTCAGCGAGGTCACCGGTTCAAATCCTGACCTGGGACCTTTCTGGGTGGATCCTGCATGTTCTGTCCGTGTATGCATGGTTTTTCTCCGGGTACTCCGGTTCCCTCCCACAGACCAAACACATGCACGTTAGGCTGATTGGTAACTCTAAATTGTCTCTAGGTGTGAGTGAGAGTGAATGGTTGTTTGGCTCTATGTGGCTCTGTGATGGGTCTGAAGACCTGTCCAGGGTGTCCCCCACATCTTGCTAAGTGATAGCTGGATATGGGCACCAGTGACCCCTGCGACCTGAAAAGGAAGAAGCGGGTAAAGATGACGGATTGATGGATGGATCAGTCAGTTCTACTAAATACATTATAAGAAGATTAATGCTTTTTACATTCTTAATATGTTGTGTGTAGCTTTTTCTGGTACAAGCTGGGGAAAAATGGTAATTATTCATAAAAATAAAGATATATTTGCATAACAGAACTGTCTACAACATTAAGTTTGTTTTCTCAGTCATCCAGGTATATAACAACAAAAAAGGTTGAATCATGTCATCTGGACTTCGTTTTTTTTGTTAAAAAAGAAACGTTTCGCCCCTCATTCAAGAGGCTTCGTCAGTCTGAGGCCTAGCCATCTGGTATTACCCAGATGCCACCCTGACTCTTGTGTTTCAGGCCTGCCTCAGATACCCCTGAAGTCTGGCCTTTTCACTAATG